CGATGAGTTAAGAGACGAACAAATTAAAATTTTGAGACATTAAAATTGATGTCGAGAATTTTATATATTTCAGAACCAAAAAGAAATTTTAAGTAAACTAAGCGAATTTAAACGATGTGAAGTAAAATTTAACGAGTGTAACTGAAACAATTATATATACTTGAATATGATACGAAATGTGAGACGACAAAATTTTTAGTTCGGTTTGTGAAATATTTTTAATTATAAAAACCAAAAAATAAAAAAAGAGAAGAAAAATGACTTGCCTTTTTTTTTTAAAAGTTTAGATTATGAAAAACACGAAGCTCTTTAATTCAGTGACGAATAAAGATTTGATTGTTTGAAATTTTTATTATTTTTGCCGAAACAAATTGAATACAGGCGAGTAATAAAAGATCTCTGAATTTAATAAAAAAAAATGACAGTAATTGCTTCAAAATACTTTAGACAAACAAAACGAGATGTTTAAATAAACGATATGAATTTTACGGTATAAGACACATAAAAAAAAAAAAAACGATTGCTATCGAAGGAATCAGTAAATGTTACAAATGTCAAAATCTTACCTTTTATAAGACTACTTTGGAAGTATAACGACTGTCGATCAAATAAAAAAATAGGAAAAGGAAAAAGAGGTAAGAATTTGATCAACTCAGATGACAAGCCCAAATTTCACTTATTGAGCCATCAATGTATGACAGTTTAAAAGGTAAATATAATGACCAAAATGTTAATTTCAATTTACTTAAACGATCCTATTTTAATAGTAAGTAATTTTATACAATAAATAACGACAGATAATTACGAAACAGATTTGTTTATAGAAGGATAATTTATAATCTCAAAAACGACAGATAAACGAAACAGTACGAGTGAAGAATCAAAAATTGACTTTTCAGAACTCTAGAACAGTAAATCAGGTATAATAAATCAAACTATTATTACGTCAATGCCTAAAAATATTTTCACCTTAATAGAAGAATCATGTAATAATCATGTAAATATTTTTAATCCAAAAACGAACGATTTGTTTGCGTCAAGTTTACATGAAAATCTATAGGTTCAGCTACTTCAGATAAATTTTATTGTTTTCGACACGACTGTAGTTTATGAAAAACCGAATCAAAATAACGAAATTATGAAAGCCTAATGAACAAATAAATAAACGACTTGATCAAAACGACTGAAAAAGATACAACTAGTTATAAAATGATTGACGACAGTTATAAAAATGTTAACAATATTATAAATTCAAGTATTGACACTTTTTAATAAAGTGAAGATCCACGAATGAAAATAAATTACTTATAATAAATATTCTAGATTAATTTATGCCTTCTGGGCATTCTCATAACGATTTTGTCAAAACTAATAAATCTATACGAATTAATACGAATTGATTATACGAATGTTGGGTATCTACATAAGTCACAGGAGTTATATAAATTATATAAAGAATTGCAGTCTGTAGAGTTACGACAGTATTCTAAATTTTAAAGTATATTCATTAATTAAGTAAAAGAAGTTTTACTTTTGAAACGACAGGAATAAAATAATAAGACCGTAATAAACTATTTATTCGAATCATTAATAATAAAATTTTATCCTATACACTTTCGCAAAAAACATCTAGATGCTTATAAACGATTTTTCTCGAAAATCTTTAGTTGAGAAACTGAAAACGAAATGAGTTTTTGCATAAGAAAATTTATTAAAAAAATCGCAAAATTTGTTTGACAGTAACGAGAAGTTTTATTAATTACGATCAAATCAAAATAAAAAAAAATATATATACAAAATTAAACAATTGAGGTACTGATTCACAAAAGTATAGAATGACAGTCTACTAATCCTGATACATATCAATAAATAGAATCTCAGAAAAATTTAACTAAACGATACGATAAATCAGTTGATTTTAAGTTTTCTAAGTAAATTTGCAACAAACGATTAGTTTAATATAAATGATACAAAACGATTCGATTGATTAGATCATTTATTATTAACAAAAAAAATGTGTTTATGGTAAGAAATACAATACAGCCTAATTGCAGAAACGAGTTTGTCATCATACGATTTGTTCATTTAAATATTTTGTTGATAAAGTAAATTTTTAGAAAAACAATTATGTGTTATTAAAAACGGAGGGAGATAAAAATAAAGAATAAAATTAAAAAGAGTAGTAAATCACGAAAACGATTGTTAGAAACGGAGGGAGAGAAATTTAACGAAAATATTAATAAATAAGTAAATAAAAAATTAAATTCACAAGAGAGGCTTTTGAGATTCATAGTAAGAAAATATATGAAATTAGTTAAAACCAAAATTTCTAAATTTACGATTGCTTTGCAAAATTAAACCTTATCGAGTTTAAAAGATGAGTTCATTAGGACTGAAAATAAAACACAATAGAAATTTTATTTTTCATTCATATTAAGATTATAAACGATTAGTTAACTCTTAAACAAACGATAGAATCTAAAAATAAAAACGATTGGTTACGAACAATTAATAACGAATTGTATTCTATGATAAAGAGTTAAGTCTTTGCTATAATAGATTAACTAATGACAGTTAAAAATTATACAAAGTCAAATATCGATTTGAGATAAGTTTTTCAAACAAAAAAAAAATACGACAGTTTATGAACTGTTAAATTCAAAGTAAGGTTAGTAATTCGAGATTTAAAAAAAAAAAAAAAAAAAAATTAAAATTTATACGAAATAGAAGATATTGATGCGACAAAATCTATATTACTTTTTGTACGAACAGTTTTAGCGATGATAAAACATAATAATTTTTCTAGTAAGTCGATAACGATAAATTATTTGTTAACTACGACAGTAAAGAAATGTTAAATTATAAATTAGAAAATGTTAGAAATCAAAAAAAAAAAAAAAATTGATTTTGTTTAAAGGTATAAAGTTAGGTAAACCAAAATGTACGATAGATATGAAAGGGACGACTGAAGGACTGCAAAAATATGACAGTTACACAAGAAGCATACGTTGAGAAGAATTTAATGAAATTTTGTCCAGATAATAAACTTCATAAAATCAGCGAATGTAATATGACAGCTATAAAATAAAGAACGAAGGGAACGTAAATTTGATGACATTTTTAAATCTTATGAAAAATAAAAAGAAACTTGACATTTCTTATAGAGAAACGATTATTAATTTTCTATACATACATAGAACTAAGAGCTTAAAAACAGCTATTGTAATCTTACCGAAAACGAGTGGAATTTGATCAGAAAAATTATCCAATATTTGTATGGAACAAAAATTATTTTTAAAGTTCGTAAGTAGACGAAACGATCTGTAAACTTATTTGGATATAAGTTTTTGCCAATTGTAAATAATCCATTTCGAATAAGTTTTTATAATACGACTGTTTGAAGATATTATCTCCTGATATGTTAATAAACAAACTTATATGGTTTAACGAAATTTGAGACTGAATATTTTTAGCCATGAATCATTATTTTAACATAATTATAACGATTAGTAAATCTTTGTTGAAAAGGTTTATCAAAACCTTCCTTACGGTGACTGTTAAATGTGATAATAATAAAGGTGCAACGATGTGTGCATAAACTAATGGTGAAATAAATTGAGGCATATGACAGGACGGATGTTCATCAAGACTATATGAAATAATTTGTTTAATACAATGTTGAAAATATCGAATGGTTTTCAACTAAAGAATAATTGGCTGATATAATAACGAATAACGAAATTATGAAATAAAGTTTTAATTAAGTGTCAAAAATACCGAATAACGACAGTTCTCTTAGGTAATTAAGATGAACAACTAAAATATAAGATAATTTCTCTCTTAGATGGTTCCAATGAACATTTGAAGCATACGACAGTTCCTCTGAGAAAGTTTAAATAAACGACTGAAATACACGATAGTAAACGATATGTGACGATGGTAATAAATTATATTATACACCTGAATTGCAATATTAATTATTTTAAATAGTTTTCAGTTACTGGATAAATTTAAAACAGGATGACTAGCAGATATGCTGCTTTAAAGATGTCCAAGGATTTCCCAAAAGTAAATTATATCAAATCCGATAATACCAATATATCCAGGATTTTCTGGTTGCGAACGAAAGTACTACGAACAACTGTGTTCAGAAAAATTTGTGAAATTTATAAATTGTTATAAAATCTGTAATTTACAAAATAGTTCATTTTTATTTCAATTGTAAACGAGTCAATCTCGGGAGGGAGTGTTGGAATAATTGTATATTCGCGCTTATATCTCGCTTGACTCTGTCAGTAGTTGCTCTTACGTCACAACCGTATGCGCACGCACTCCTTCCTACTTCTTGTTCTTGCTTCGACCGTGAACGTCTCGATCGTCAACGAGCTCCCAATAAACGACCGTATTTATCCTTATTTCCGTGTTATTTATTGACTACATCCTGCCCTAAATAAACTGCATGCCAACAATATTGTATGTACCTACAGGAATAATTGCAACTTGTCTTTTGTACTATCATTTCCGTTTTAAAGAGTTCTATTTCGACACCAGCAGTAATACTAGAAGTGGCACTCCTCTCCTACTACAATCTGCAACCACATAATGCGCCTTTTGCGAGCATCATGATCTCAGTTTCCTCTCTTAACGCTTTCACTCTCATTTTCTGTTTTATTACCTGTCAAATGCAAAAACTTGCAACAAATCAAAAAACAAGGTTTAAATTACGTTCATCAAGAAATTTTCTCGCTGATAAGATATTTTTGTTTGAGGACTTTTGGGTTTTTTTTCTCTCCTTCCTCTTTTAATTACCTTTATAAGATATCATGATAAGGATATAAAAGAAACTTCTCATTATTCAGGAAAAAACATTTGACTGACTGTAAATTTACATATTTAATTTTTTACAATTTTTGAAATATTTTTAATATAACATCTTTCCGCTTTAATTTGTATTAGTTTTTTAGTTTTAACATTTTCTAATTTATTTTTTCTTTTCGCAGTTTTCCTGCATCAGTTTTACAATCCAGTGGTGATAATTTTATATTGGAAAAGTGAGGCAATATTTTTGTAAAAATATTCACAAAAGGATCAGAAGAATTTATATATATGTATATACTATGTTGAATCCAAAAGTTTCGAGTACACAGCAATAAAGGTATTAGTGAAAATTTTAAGCTGTTTAAAGTTTTATGCCGATATTTTATGGATGAACATTTGCTAAGCATCTTATTGAGGAAACAGGAGACAATAGATTTTTAGGTGACAGCTGCGTGTCCATTTTCCAAGATTATAAAACCTCTCTTGGTATTTTGCTCTCTTGGGTCATTCAGTTTTTCATGGTTTCAAATATATACATGAGTTTATCGGTTCCTCTGAGGACAATGAAAAATATAACGGGATTGAAAACGGTATGCAAGTACGCACTTTCAGGTCAGTTTCTTATAGGCCATCCAAAATTTGCACACGTTCGTCCTTCAGACGAGAGAGAAAATTAATATTTCCGCGATTAAAAAAAAAAAGAGAGAAAAAGAAATATATATCTATATACACCTTTCTTTTTCGAAAGTATATTCCGCATTTTGTATTGTCTATATAGATAAAGACTATACACAATATCAATTCCAAAGATAATTCGACACTTCATTTTATTCAGGTCACGCTTTCTTGAAACTTGTTTCAGTCTAGCACCACAAACGAAATTAATGTTAAGTTGTAAAATTAATTTCTTTTCACACGGTTGTCGTATGATAATCATTTTCATTCAAAGAAGCATCATAATTGTGAGTTTTTTTTTTTTAAATTCATATAATATGTACAATTTATTTGCGGTCATTTATCATTACGGTGAAATCGAGTTTTGAAAAAATTTGAGAAACCATGGAATTAATTGGAAATTCTACTAAATGAAAATTTAGTGAAAGAAAAATATTTGATTCAATATAGAGATTCGGTTAAATAAAAATTCCGATTAATATAAATTTTCACTTAAATTTGGCTAAATTTAAATAATTTAATAAATAATAAAGATCCACTATCAAATATAAAAAATAACAATGATAACGATATAAAAATGTAATACAAAGTAATGCAAGTTTTAATTAATTATACTTTTCTTTAATAATTGTATATCAGTTTATGGTAATTTTAATTATAATTTATAAATAATTTTTTATAGTGGTTTTATGGTATTTTTATACCTGATGGCAATTTTTTATTAGTAGTATAATCATGATTTAATGTAACATTAAAAAAAAAAAAAAAATTGCAACCCCCTAATGTAAAGGAATCATATTGACTTATAGCTTCTGTAGTTTTGTTCAGTTAGGAAATTTAACATTGAAGCGGGATAAATTAGACACGATAGGAGTAATAAATAACCTGTCATGGAGTCTTTCTCTCCTCTGATAGAGCAGAATGAATATTTATCGGTTGGAAATATTAGTAATCTAATTTGAATTTTTGAATGAAATTTTGTTTATCATATTGCAGCTGGTAATGTAGATAATAACAAATAATAACATTTTTTTTTATTCATAATGTACTGATGCAATTAGAAATAATATTTTTGTCAATATTATATCAGAAAATGTACCTACATAATTAATTTTAAGGATTAAAAAACAATTTTTCATTAAGTTATAATAAGATTTTCTCTTTATGTTATTGACTTATTTTCGTAATGTTATTTTATTTTAGAATTTATTTTCTACTATCATTTCTCGCATCGTGTTTATATCGTGTATAGAATACTTTTCTATTTTCATATCATCGCATTTGGTTTAAATGCCGACTTACAGCTTTGCGGAATGATTCATCACTGCCAGCTGACTTTGTGGCTCGTTTCAATTGAAATGGTTTTGTGCCCACCTCAGGTGTCATCGTGTTTTTTTTTCTTCTTTTTGAAATTTGAGCAATTAACGACAATAACAAAGTGTGCTCTATTTTATTTCAATTGTTTCTCGTATTCATATTTCTTGAGTTTTATTATAATTAAGCAAAAAATCTTTATCAGATGATAAAAGAAATTAATTCTCTTTATTATGGAGTTTGATGATAAAATTTTAATCTAAAATTTAATTTTATTGTTATCGAAACAATTAATATTCATTTAATTAATTATTAATATATTAATAATTATATTGGTAAAAAATAATAATTTTAAATTTAATATGAAAAATATAAATACTAATTAAAATTATAATTAAAATCGACATACTGATGGAATAAGTTTTATATGGAAAATTATATTATAATGAACAGAGAAATGTTTCATATCTCATTTATAATGAAGCCAGTATTTTACGACTTTTTATATATGTCTTTTCTTCATCTGTCACTCTTGTCTGTTCCTTTTATCTTTGTAACAAAATACGCGAGAATGTCCAACAACTTGGCGGCTGCTGCTGCCCAAGTAAAGTGTAGTTATATTGATTCTTGGCTGAATTCGACAGCTCATATATATGGCTTTTGAAAAAGATTATAAAACGAGCGAGTATGCAAAATTAAATTCACATCATCATCATTATCATCCTTCTGCAAAGAGAAAAAACAGAAAGTCTCATTGATCGAAAATATAATACACTTATATTATCGTTTCCTTATAGATTTTCCATTTGACTTCTAGTCTCACTCATGAGAAATATAATCGAATGTGAGAGAGAGGATTAAAATCATCCATTTGAAAAACAAGTTTTTGCTTTTATCTAGATATTTATTTTTCAGTTTTTTTGTACATTATTATTTCTAATTCATTTCGAAATGTGCGTATTGCTTTCAATTTTCTATACCCACACACTTTGTTCATTATTATTCGTAAAAATTATTTCTTACGTAAATATTGCTTTTATTTCATTTTTCCCATAGATTTGATTATGAAATTGAAGATTTATAAATTTGAATTTTTCGCCCTTCCAAAAAAGGGTTTCTATTTCTCATTTTCATATTTAAAATTTCTCTAAATGTAAAAATTGAGAACCCTCGTATCCGCATTTCCTCATACCCTTTCGTACTAACATTTGGCGTGTCTCCAGAGTCGATTCAAACTTCTAGTACTGTCGGGGGCTTTGCCCGAGGGTGCGAAACATTTTTTCGTTGATTTCTATCATTTTATTTGATTTTTATTATTATTTTCTCATGACATCTATACCTTAAAGAAATCGAAATTCTATCTTTTTCAAATAATGGCATCATATTTTCTATTTTAAAAAAATGAATATTCGCAAATCTGTTATTACACGGAGAAAAAAGATTTCTTTTATAAAGTAACTTTTACTACTTTCAGAGTAAAACTGGACCAACTCGAAGTTTCTGCGCATCTCTGGCAATTTTTACTCCAAAAAGAGTAAAATTGACTCTAGAAATAGTAAAACTTACTATGGAAACAGTAAAATTTACTACAGAAATAATAAATTTTACTATTTTTGGAGTAAAAATTGCCAGAGATGCGCAGAAACTTCGAGTTGGTCCAGTTTTACTCTGAAAGTAGTAAAAATTACTTTTTCTTTTTCTCCGTGTGTAAACAAAAATTTAAGATTAGTCATTTATTTTTTTAAAATAACTTTCTCATACGAGAAAAGATATATATGGGAGTGACCGTGAAATGTATGTGCACATGAGATTGTATTTAATTAAAATTTATTTTCAAATCAATCTAGTCTGCTGATTATGTTCTGTGTCTGGCGTAGACGCTTTCGTTTTCCGTATTTATGATCTTTATTTAATTATTATACTTGCACTCAATTATTCAATATTGTAATATAATATCCCGCTTTTTGAAATTGAGACGATTTCTCATAAATTAATCTAAATTTCTTTTTATTTAATTTTATTGAAAAAATCTCCATCAAGTAGAAAAAAGAAAAAATAATTTTTCCTTTTTTCGAAAAATCTTTCGCAGTGTTTGAACATTAATTTTTGTCGCAGGTGCTGTTATTCAGGAAATTTCATAGTTCCCTCAACTGATCATATTATTATCTATATTGCAATTTCGAGGCACAAATCAAATTCTACGATAATAAAAAAATAAAAAATATATACACAATGGAATCAGAAAGACAAGAGAGCCGTGGGCAATGCACGAGTAAAGACGGAATAAAGATGAGAGAAGTTTGGTTTCCTTCAGAGAAGAATATTGACCAAGGCGAGAAGAATATGCAGCATCTTTTTCCTCGAATGGTCCATTCGAATATAGGAAGGACTGCGGATTGTTGTTGTTGTTGTTGTGCCCTTTGGCGCATATCGAAGCAGCAGCAGCAAAGACGAGAGCCACACGAACGATTTACGAGATTCGTTTTATGAGTCTTTTACTCGTTTCGTGCTCCAAGGAAGAGATCGAGCGTCTTGGAATTGTATTGCCCAGGCTTGACTTCATCTCACTTGGTTGCTGTCGCTTTCAAAAATGAAATGCCACTCGAATGAAAACACGCCCATTAATATTGGTGGCTTCAAAAAAAAAAACACACACACACGCCACTGAAATTAATTCTTCCAAACTAGTCCCAAAAATCAATTAATTAATCATTCTAAAGTAAAAAATTTGCTATCTTTCATTTTCAAGAAATTTAGCTCGAAATAATCTTAAAAATCTTCTTTAGATAGAATTGAAAAATCTTATCTTGACGAATTTGCCTGACTCATCGGCAAATAAAACTTTCATTTTTTTTTTTTTTGAAAAGAAAAAAAAATTAGATAATAAGATAAGATCTTATCTTCTTTGCCTAAATCCTCAGCTAACGTTGTATATTATTCGATTGTAATAATTTTCTTTTGTGAAATTTGAGACAACAGACACAATTTTTCATACATCGTAAAAATAGTCAGGGGAAGCAGAAAAAAAAGATGCGGTTCACAGGTTAATAGCTCACACTCTCAACAACTTCCTCGGTAATCTCGTTTCCTGTCTGATTCGACAAGAATAGCGCAAAGAGACATTTATGCCAGACAACGTGTATGCTACCAGTTCTTGGCCGTTTCCTTGTCTTCGTATATACAAGTTCACGCTATGAGTCACTATTCAGAACATATATGTATATGCATATACAGCCATACAACGCCTAACTCCTTTACCGAGAGTGGAAAGGATAAAACGATGTAATTTACTCTCTTGTCCTTGAAAGGGAAATAGGGTTGCTTATGCGTCTCGAGCCTTGGGCTTTT